TTCTTGATAGAGAGGAACGTTGGCTTGAGAGAGGAGTAAAGGAAGCCATCTTTGTGAAGAAAAAACATCCTCCATCAAACAGAGGTGGAGGCCTCCGTTTTCAGTTGTCCTCCTCCTTCAGTGCTGTTATTGCAAGTATGACTCAGCCCCCTGTGAGTAAAGGGTGTGAATCAGGGCCCCAACGATACCAACACAAAGAGGGAAAGAGAGACAAAAACAAGGGGACATTGAACCCGCCTGCACTCACTACATACACATGACACCAAATAACCACAGCGTCCAAACCAATAAGTCAGTTGATGGGGCACATGGCCCTCTATGTACAATAGAACTAATCAAGCCTATTGTTAGTCGATGGCCCTCTTTAACCTGTTTGTCCACGTGGAGGCAGTGCTTATAAGGCTGAGTTCACCTGAAACTCTTCAGACTGAAGAAGCCTCTTGGAGGAGAGACGAAATGTTTCACTAAAGAAGATCCCATCCAGAGGACCTACTTATTTTTTCTTTTTGRTACCTATTTACACCTTCTCCTGGGGTTACTATTGAAAGTCATGAGAAAAGCTTGGCTCCACCTTCAAATGTCTTAAYACAAATAAAAAWATATRTAATTAAGACTGAATTACARTGCAGACYTTGTACCTGGGAACATAGTTACAAGCCCAAACAYGGGCACTACTGGGGAGCACTGATACCAGTGAACATATGACCCCAATAAAGCCCCACATGCAGGAACAACACAGTATAGGAACTGTATGCTGCTTTTTGAAAAGGAAAGCTAAAGCTGCAGCAAAGCAGACTAGCCAAGAACTGAAAAAAAATAGCTAAATGTAGACCAAGACAACTAAAGAAACACAAAATGAAACCTGGAACTATTTGCATTTGAAAGCCTCCAAAGAGCAGGTGTGTTGATTACTAACTGAAACCAGATGTGAAGACAACAGAAAGACTCTCCAAATAGGCTCAATTAACAGCACAAAGAAAAAAAAAACACTCCCAAAAAACAACTCTGTGCATGAAGGCTTTTCACCGCTGTTGTTACTTTGGACRTCACCTCCCCCCACCCCCAGCCCTGGAGCATACAGTTGTGTGCCCCACACCAGCAGACCTGAGCTCATCCCAGCCTGTCTCCCAAACAAGCTGCGGTGTAATTGCTTGTCAGAGCTGTCTGCGTGCCTGTTTTTCTTCWCGCCACCACGCACCTGACAAGAAACACATATTTACACACAAAAATGAAATTACAGGCAATTTGAGAGCGGGAGCTTTGGAGGCAACGCCTGCTATCAAGCTGTCCCAGTCGATGAACTCCTCTCAGCCCCAAACGCTTTATTACCTTGGGGTGGAAAAATGAAGAAAAAAAAGGAAGGGAAAAAAAGCAACTAACAAAATATGTTTGCAATTTTATCATGTTATACATCCTTAATTGCCTGTTTTCTTGCTTCTCTGGAAAGTAACTGTCAAGTTTTTTTCTCACTACATACAAGTATTTAAGTTATTATCACATAATACAGTAAACAAATAAATATGAGGATGAATCAGTAAAAGTCCACAGCCTAGAGTGCCATTATGTTTAATTTAACATAGGAAATTAAAGGTGTTCTTTGCAATGTCAACCAAACTGTTTTAATTAAATACATAAATTCAAACATATTCTAGACATTTACTTTTACAAATCGATGTCTCCTTAAATGAAACATTTGTCAACTAAAATGGTTAGCAGCTACCACAAGAGTTTGTTTACCTACAGAAAACAGCTAAAGTGACTGAATATAGGTGAACAATGGTGACAGCCGTGCGTTTAGATCATTTTGATGTGTTGCTACATATTTATGCTCAGGTTTGTTGAGTATTCTGATCAAAATATTTAGTTTAAATTGAGCAAGTACCTGCATTTTCAGAATTGCACATCAAAAACAACACTGATTTAGTTCAGGATAACCTTTTTAATGTTTGATTCCATAGTTTGCAATGAGTACTTTTAATACAACACAGCTGTAAAACCTGCTGTTTTAATTATCCACATTAGTTTATAACTGACTCATTAGTCTAAGTAGCTGCCTGTAGAATACTGATTCAACATGTGGAACAAAAAAAAACAAAAAACTCCATGGATAAATTCATACAAGTTCTTCAATAACCAAAAGCTATCTGACAGGTTTTTTTATGAACTGAAACTGCATTTGTTCTTATTTTAAAAGGACTTTTCAAATTTGACATGACTATTTGCATTCTGATTGAATTGGGTGGGATATTTTGGTCTTCAATTTTGTTTTGGAAAGTATTTCACACAATGCTTCCTCATCAGGACCTTTAAGTTTCATTTACACTCACTAAATGTATGATTTCAAGCTGGGAAACACAAAAGCTTGTTGATTGAGTTTGACTCAAAATTTAATAAGTTTTTTGCTTTTCTTTTATTCTTTTAAGTGGTGGGCAGAATACAGCTACAGCAGGTAAAATAAGTGTTGAACACGTCACCATTTTTCTCAGTAAATATATTACTAGAGGTGCTAATGACATGAAATTTTCACCAGATGTTGGTAACAACC